CGCCGCCCCCGGCCCTAAGCAGTCAGGAACCTCCTCTCCGTCTCTGTAGCTCCGCCTATTCTGGACACTTCACATATACAGGTTCGTGTAGTGTATCATGTGTGGTTCTATGTGACTGGCTTCTGCCACACGTTTTCAGTGCAGAATTGAATTGGCGGTACAATGAACTAGTAAAGAATTAAGCTTTAGGTGATCTTTAAGGTGTCTGTGTAAACTGTTCTGATGAGATTCTTAGATGCCTGCTGTTCAATCCTTGACTCAGTCAGCATGAGCTGCTGTAACAAAATACTATAGATGAGGAGGGTTACCTAGACCCTGAGGTCTCACAGTTCCGGAGGCAGAACTCCAAGATCAGGTGCCGGCAGACACGGTTCCTGGAGGGTCTGCTTCGGCTTGAGGACGGCCACCGTCTCACTGTGCCCTCACGGCTCTGGTCTCTTCCTCTTCTTTTAAGGACACTTGCAAGAACCCCATCACCGGCCCCATTCCCGTCACCACTGCTAAGCCAGATCCCCTCCCAGAGGCCCCACCTTTAAAGACCCCTGAGGCTGAGGGCTTCAGTATGGAAATTCTGGGAGAACACAGACATTCAGTCCATAGGAATCCACAAGATTCCCATTTCTCAGAAGTTGTCATCAGCAGGTGATGTTTCAAGCCAGAAGCAAGTTTTGCAATTCTATTAGTACTCGGTAGAAAAAGTATTATATCATTTTATGCAATGAGAATATTTAATTAGAGTAAATTAAATATTTAATTTAATTAAATTAAATATTAGAGTAAATACGTTTGTTGCTGTTCTCTAACATAAATGCATACAAATAAAATATAAAATTTTATGGCTGTCAACATTTTATTGTTATTAACCCTCATCAGAGGATATTTTTTCCATTGCTTTTCAGAAAGAATAGGAGGAAGGGAGAGAGAGAGAGAAAGAGAGAGGGCGAGGGAAAGAAACATCTGTGTGAGAGAGACACATCGATTGGTTGTCTCCTGTACACGCCTCAACCGGGGCCGGGATTGAGTTTGCAGCCCAGGTATATGCCCTTGACCGGGGATAGAATCCACAACCCTTCAGTCTGCAGTCTGGCGCTCTAACCACTGAGAAACACTGGCCAGGGCTATTTCTAATTTTTTTTACAGCAACCTATGTTAAGAAGCATGTTCCCCATAACCAATGGACACAGGCAGTAGGGGGACAAGGGCATGTGCTAGGGGGTAGAGCAGCTGGGGAGAGGTCAAGGGGGGAAAAGGAGACATATGTAATACTTTCAACAATAAAGAATTTAAATTAATAGCGTGCTCCCTGTCCAGTGCTGCATACAGCATGTGCTAGTACACGTGTGCATCTGGAGCTGAGCGTGACGGGACTCACATTCTCTGTGTGTCTCTGTCAGTTCTCTGTAGTGCTGGCTGCAACCCACTGAAGCGATAGAACATGGTCGGGCAATGTGAGCCGTCCTTTGTGAATCCCCGCTGCCTCTGCAGTGAGGTGCCTCCTTAAGTGGCCTGTGGGGGATGGAGAAGACACCTCTCCTTAGTGCCCTAGAGGAGTGTTCAGGGCACTTGTCACTAAAATGCCATCCCCAAGGACGGAGGTATGGTCCCCACAGTCATTACTGGTGCCAGTCATTCCGTTTGCTTCAAGAGGACACATGGTTGCAGATATTTGCTCTTTTTTGGTTCATAAGAGATCTGCTGGCTCCACCTGTGCTGTACCTGTGAACACTTGTGCACAAGCAGCAGTGCGCTTACGTAAATGCACATCAGGGCTCAGCGACTTCATCTTTTCTTACCCTCCCTGGCAAGGATAGTTTGGCCGTTTAATGCAAATCATACAAGTTGTATTTTCTATGTTGCAGATTCGTAACCAGCTTAACCAGGAACAGAATTCAAAACTGCAGCAGCAGAAGGACCTCTTAAATAAGCGCAACATGGAGGTGGCCATGATGGACAAGCGCATCGGCGAGCTGCGCGAGCGTCTGTACGGGAAGAAAATCCAGGCACGTGGAACAGCAAGTGTGTCCCCCAGGGGAGAGGGGCCCGGGAGCAGTCCCGGTGTGTACGTAGCCCCAGATCCTAGGTTACCAGAGGGGGCCACTCACAGGCCTATGGGCCGAGGCCCTCCCTGATGCCTCGCCCTTCCTGGACGCTCATCCCTCAGGTTGGTGGGGCTGCTCAGTACGAGGAGATGCTGACTCCTTTCTTCCCGTTGCAGCTGAGCCGTGTGAACGGCGCGTCGTCACCACAGTCACCCCTGAGCACGCCCGGCAGGGTGGCGGCCGTGGGACCTTACATCCAGGTTCCCAGCACCGGCAGCTGCTCAGCGCCAGGGGACCCTGTAAAGCCCCAGTCTCTCACTGTTGCTTCAGGAGCTGCCCATGGGAGGCCCAAACCCGGTAAGTGGCTGGCCCTCTTCCCGGGGAGCGTGAGCAGGACGGGGGGCCGTGGAACGGCGTCCTCCGAGGGGCCCCGCATGTTCCTTCCGTCTCCCCCGAGGCACCACATCCTCCAGGGCAGCTTGGGGAGCGATGTGTTGCCACGGTGACCATCCCATAGACAGCACTGTGACTGCACTCCCCTCCCCCACTCAGTCAGTCAGAAAGTCCACAGACCACCCCTTCGCCCTGGGCCCCCTGAGGCCCAGGGCCCAGCGCAGGCCCAGCTCCGTGGGGCGTGGGGCGCTCCCACTTCCTGGCCGCCCGGGCAGGCTCTCCTCAGAGGAGGGTCGGCTGGTTCTCAGCAGATGCACGAGAGCCGGGGCTCCCTTACAGGAGGGCTCGTTATGGCTGGGGGGACGCAGGCCCCGTAGCTCCCACCATGTTGGCAGGTCCCCACACCGCAGCAGCCCTGCGACTGGCCTGCCGGGGCTGTGAGAGGGGCCCTTGGAGTCTGTGGAAGACTTGGGGCGTCTTCTGTTTGCTGACTTCCTGCTCTCTAGCCGGCACCTGCTCTGCAGCCACACCTCTGCTGCTCCCGGCGGGCGGGGCGTCCCCAGCCCTCAGATTCGGCCGTCTCTCAGCAGCGTGCAGGCTCTGGGGTCGGTGTGGCTCTAACGGCACCTCCTCTGATAAGCTGCTGTTTATAGTCCAACCCCCCGTGGTGGGAGCAGATATTCGTCTGGTTCCAATGACGACAGCCCCACCCGCCGCTTCTCTGCTGCCTTCCTCGTCACCCTTTCCCGAGCTGGGCCCGTCTCCACGTCCCTGTTCTCTGGGTCCGTGCAGGGCCCGAGAATGCCCTGCAGAAGCTCAGAACCACCCTGGGTCTCAGCTGTGCTGTGAGGGGACCACCCGGGACACCTGCGTCACCGCACGGGGCAGAACCTGGGCCCGGCTGTGGATCTGGGGAAAGAAAGCTCTTCGGGGGGACCCTGACTGTGCTGTGGCTCTTCTGGTTCCGTGCCCCACAGATGGCCATGGTAGACCCAGAGTGACCCGCTCGTGGACAGTGTCCGACCTGGACATCGGGCCCGACTGCGGCTCCGCACGGCAAGCTGCAGACTCCCTGACAGACCGTATGTCAGCGGGCCGGCCTGGGGAGCTCTGTCCCTCCTGCTGCTCAGGCAACAGCCACTCTGTTTTCCAAACGAGAAAGGCCTGGGCACCCGTCTAGACTTGAGAGAGATGCCACCTGAGCGTAGTCTGCCCCTCCCTTCAGCCAGGTGCAGGGTGGGCCAGGCCACGCACCCGGGTCCCGCTCAGGGAGGCTGAGCGGTGCTGGCACAGGAGGGTGTCTTGGTTTTCTTCTACCACATGAAGAGGATTCCCCGAGGTCACAGGAGGCATTTAGCTTTATCTCCCTTCATACTTGAAGGTGATTGTCCCTTTATAACAAAATGAAGTGATCTTCCTTCTGTACCTTCTGCCTGATCCCCAGAAAGAAAATTTCTCTCTTCATCCCTCCTTCACCTTTCTGTGACTGACTGGTGGGCCACATTCCTGGTGACCTTGAGAGAGGGCAGGGGAGGTCCGAGCGCTCGGCCTGAGCGTCTGCAGTGAGGGGAGGAAAGAAAAGCACCCCAGCCCGGATAGGCTGACAGGCCACGGGAGCGAGGTGACCTTGGGCCTTGGACTGCTTAGCAGGGCCCTGCAGCTTGGCTGAGCCGTGTGGAGCCTGCCGCCTGGAGCTGGGGTAATGTGAGCAGTGCAATGCAGGGGTAGCAGTGCTGCCGCAGGAGTGGACGCGGCTCTGGAGCTCTGCCTGTCCTGCACGCGCCGGGACCTCTGGTCGTGCCCAGAGCACGTGCGAGCCAGCCTTCCCGTCCCGGAGTGGCCAGGAAGAGTGAGCTCCCTCTGGCCCTCAGTCGTGCCCACCTGCCGCGCTGGCTGGAGGGACGAGGATGTGCGGTTCTGCCAGGGCCCAGACAGTCCCCGGGATTTCCTCCCGTCCCCTGTGGCTGAGGCTGGGTGTCGGCACGTCCGTCAGCCCGTGCCCGCTGCGAGACACAAGCTGGTTGGGGCTGGAGCCGGGCCTGCCGACGTGAGCGAGCGGGTGCCCTTTTTCAGTTTGGAAAACGTTCTGTAAAAATGTAGCTTCTCAGTGCTTTTCTGAAAACGCGGGCTTGACTGGCTCTCTGACCACTGCTGGGGGGGCAGCCTGTCTCCAATCAGTGGGACCGCACCGGCCTCTGTGATCATTCCTCGCTGCAGAGCAGGGGTGGGGAACGTCGGCCCGCGGGCTGTGTAACGCTCGCGAAATCGTTGGGTCTGGCCCTGCCAAGGCATCAGGGGTGAGTTAATTCAATGTTTGACCAAATAGAGCAGCCTCATTTTTAAGTTGATAATTTTGTATGGACCACGAATGATGTGATAAATATCCAAATGGCCTTTGGCAGAAAAAAGGTTCCCCACCCCTGCTTTAGATGATAGAAATTTCTAATAGATCAGAGTTGAATTTTTCTTTTAACACTGAGTGGTGCAGATCAAGCCTGTTATGGAGTCAAAGGAGAGTTCTTTACTGCTGTATGTAACTATCTGTAAGCAGTGTTTGAACAGTAAGGGCCGTGCTTGCTTCGCTCGTTAGTGTTGATGTAAGGGTTTGAGCTGTGCTTGAATGAGGGCTGACTGTCTCTGCAGACCTCTGTCCCCGGCTGGGTCATTGCTGGAGCCACGCGGCGCTGGGGGGCCCGGCCCGCAGAGGCCGCCCTAATCCCGCCACACACTCGCGAGCTGGCGTGCGGGGAGGGTCAGCCCTGGCGGTGCCGCTCCATTGGAATGATGTTCCAGAAAGCGACTTTCTTTTCTGATGGGGCTGCTCCTATGCTAACTCACCTAATTTCAACACAGACTTGACTTAAATTCTATGTTCTTTCCAAGCTAATGATGGAAACTGGCCAACACTAAAACAAAATATGAGCTCTTCGGTGAAACCAACACAGATGGCCCCTGTGGACTGGAAGGACCCGAGCGTGGAGGGGCCGCTCAGGCAGGGCCCCGTCTCCAGCCAGCCTGCGCCCTTGTCAGCTCTGGGAGCCCCGGAGAAGCTGGTAGGCCCCTTGTCATGATCCCTGGGACACAGATGAGCTCCTAACCCTGTCATGTTTGGCCCTTGTCTTCGAGGGTAGAAGGTGTCATGAGGCAAATTATTCTTACTAGCGTCCAAACGACACCCAGTCTGAGGAGTCCGTAGCCCTACGCACCCGCGCAGTGAGCACGTCGGGCCTTAGTCAGGGTGGTTCTGTCGCAGGCAGGTGACAGCCCGCTGTGCCCGATCCCTGGCGCCGTGCCGGCCACAGCCGACTTGAAGGATTACAAGTCCTACTTTGTCTCCTCATGTGACTGTGGATGGGAATCTGCTTAACTTTTCAAAGGATGACTGTGTTTTCTTCACGTTTAAATTTAGGGCATCGAGATGGGTAAAATGCCACCCCCCGTCCCTGGTGTTGGCAAGCAGCTGCCGCCGAGCTACAGCACACACCCAAGTCCTGCGCCCGTGGGTCCAGGGCCCACAAACTCCCTGGAAAGGAGGAAGGAGGGCAGCTTGCCCAGGCCCAGCGCAGGCCTGGCCGGTCGGCAGAAGCCCGGCCCTCTGCCCTCCGTGGGCAGCACCCACCCGCCGGGCTCCTCCCAGCAGATCCAGCAGCGGATTTCTGTGCCCCCGAGCCCCACGTACCCGCCCGCAGGGCCGCCTGCATTTCCCACTGGAGACGGCAAACCCGAGCTCCCACTGACTGTGGCCATCAGGCCCTTCCTGGCAGACAAAGGGTCCAGGCCACAGTCCCCCAGGAAAGGACCCCAGACAGTGAATTCAAGTTCCATATACTCCATGTACCTCCAGCAAGCCACGCCCCCCAAGAATTACCAGCCCGCAGCGCATGGCGCCTCGAATAAGTCGGTCAAAGCAGGTACAGTAGCTTGTGCTCTCCCTCCCGGGCCAGGGCGCTGTGCTCTCCTCTGGGAACACGCCGGCCCCCAGCCTCACATCCGGGCCACACGCTACCTAGGCCCAAACCAGAGCCTTACCCCTCACACGCCTTCCGAGCCGCATGAGGTGGGGTCACAGCTGACTTCCTGTTGGAGCGCCCACCCCTGGGAACTCCAGCTGCGGGAAGGGTGTGATCGAGCAGTGCACTCCCTCTCCTGCGTCCTGGTGCCTTGTGCAGCTCTCCCGGGGCCGGGTGGGGCTCTGCCTAGACCTCATCTCCACCTGCCGTTGCCGAGCCAGGCCCTGGGGCAGCAGCTGGGTGGCGAGGGGTGTCTTCTGCTTTGGGCATTCCTCCCCTCTCCCCCGCCCCAAGAGCCGCAGGGAGAACAGCCTGATTCGGGTGAGGGGACATGGCCCTGGGGCGAGGTGTTGGAGGGAGCAGGTCGGAGAACAGGGCCTAGTTCCACACCTCCCACAGTCAGTGGGTTCTGACTTCAGTGGTAGGGTCCTGCCCGTTGGGCTTTCTTAGATGTTCTTGGGCGTGAGCTGCAAGCTTCCAGACTCGCAGTTGAGGGACTCCTGGGTGCCTGGCCACCCCCCGTGCCCAGCAACCCCTGAGGCAGACACTGCACTGACCAGGGGCTGGAGCGGCCGAGACCCTTCCCTAGAGCTCCAGGCGGCCTCCCTGTCAGGCCCGGCTGGGGCTTCCTGCTGTGCCCCTACGTCCGAGGCTCAGCTCCTTGGCCAGGAGACAGGGACAGCCGGTTTGGGTGGGAAGCCTGGTCCATGGCTATTTTAAATGCTCGTTTGGAAAAGCCCCCATTCTGGGATCCCAAAGGCAAAAGCAGAAGTTAGATGCTCCACGTTCCAGAGTGTCGGTGAGGTTCTTTGAGCAGAGGACACGCTTGGGGCTTAAGTTGGGGCTCACGGCGTGGCCGGTGCAGCTCGTTGGCTGGAGCGTCGTCCCGGGCATTGAAGGGCCGTGGGTCTGATTCCAGGTCGGGGTGCGTACCCGGTTGTAGGTTCAGACAAGGTTAGGGGGCATGTAGGACGCAGCCAGTCAATGTTTCTCTCCATCTCCCTTCCTTTCTCTCTAAAATTAATAAAAAATGTGTTCTCTGGTGAGGATTAAAAAATAATAAATTTATTTTAAAATTAGGGTTCAACAGCCAGGCCGCCTCTGGCGTAAGCAGGGGTGTGTAGTGGCGGGCCCGGTGCGGGTGCTGAGGGTCCCCGTCCTGTCTCCTCAGTGTACGGGAAGCCCGTCCTGCCATCGGGCTCGGGCTCTACGTCCCCGTCGCCGTTGCCGTTTCTTCACGGGCCGCTGGCCA